ACCAACAAAACAGCGCTACTTGTTCAAATACTGGAGGATAAATTCACTGAAATACGGGTGCAGGTGTTCTAGGATGATATGAATAATGGAATAAGATTGTAATTAGGTGTCATGTATTATAAGACATTTCACAATGCAGTCTGTGTTTCATCCCTAAGCTGTATACACAGACCGAACAATGCATACGGGTAGGAGTGGGAATCATCAGTACAGTAATTGCGAAAATGAGTTTCAGATCCCGAAAGATATGACGCTTGAGTACAAAGAACTTGAGGAACGGCCAAAATTGCCTCAGTCACTTCAGCAGCAATGCATTCAGCCCTGTCAACCGCAACAAACACCGAACTCGGCGGTTTCCTCTTCGAATAGTGGCAGTACATAAAAGCATTACGGTTTCATGTTGTGTTATGTCAGAAGCATTGCATTCAAGGGCCATTTAGAGAAAAAATCAGTTGTGCTTTAAAAAAACCAACGAAGTTTTTTCCTGTGATTTTTGTTTCTCTTCTCGTTTTTTTCCGCAAAATTTTTTGTAAAATTTCTCAAAACTGTAGAAAAAAAAATCCAGAGAAAACAGTGAAATTTCAAAAATTTAAGCAAAGTGTATTATCATCTAGAAATTTTGTGCTGCCCATTCAATACGATTGTTGTTAACATTGTTAACACTGCAACAAAACTTTTCGCATTTTGTTTTGTTTTACCGCACAAAACCAGCAGTATGCACAGTCAAAATCATGTCTGGAGTGTAAAGTCGGGCCAACCGAACGTCCTTGTTATGGGCGAAGAAGCAAAAACGAAAAGAATTTTATTTTTTAAAAGTAAACAGCAAAACAGACACTGAAAAAAGTAAAAAATGAAAAAAATGCTTTGGATGGAGAAGCTCACAGCAAAACAAACGTTATTTTAAAAAAAAAAAAGTAAGAAAACAAGAAAAAAAACAGTAAAGTCGCATGGTACATTTTAAATAGCACTTAGTTGAATACTTGGAAAGTGTTGTTTTACCAAAAATTACCCTGTCCTAATGGGTATTCCAGGGAGATAGCACAAATTTCAATCTCGTCCTCAGTATTTCTAAAGTACTGCTGCAAAGACTGAGTCCACCGAATCGGAAATTCGAGGAAGAACTGTTTGCTGTGTGAACCATACTGAAAAGTTAGTAATAATTAGAACCGAGAGGTAAAAGTTGGGGAACGGATAATGGTTTTCAAGCACATCAGATCGAGATATCGCAGGTATTCCGGGCCGAATTTAGAAGAAAGTAACATTCTGGGTTTCGGTATGATACATGACGGGGGTACCGGGGCATATTTGAGTAGCAAAATCAGTCGGATCCAGTCGAATTTCTCAAAATCCCTGCAGAGCAGGAGGGGCATACCTTTGAATAGCAAGATGGACCAGTTCCAACCAAATCTCTCGGAATCCTTGCAGTATGGGATGTAACAATACCAAGATCGCTTGGGCTATCAGTGTGGGTATCCCATGTTAGTGATGCGAACACTATCAAAAAAAAATGATAAAGTGGCGAAAGGCATAGTTGGCGAAAGTGGCGAAAGGAAAAAGAAAACATAAATCCTGGAAATGTCGACAGCGCTGAAGAGAATTGATAAAGCGGTAAAAAAATTTGGAAAAAAAGGGATTGGATCCTGGAGTAGATAAGACATTTAAATAGTGATAATTGAAGTCAAAAATGATAAAAGTAGTATTAAAAAAAAGCCGAGTCATAATTTCAAAAATCATAAAAATTTCCACAACAATCTATTTTTTCGCAGCAATCTCAAAATCATAACAATTTCAAGAATTAATGAAAAGGAAGTGATCCTCGAATAACCTTCGTTCCCAGCCCAAGACGAGTACTTCCTGCCGGCCTAAGAAACTTGTCACCAAGCGCACATATTTGCGGTAAAGTATCATTTTTGAATTAAAAACAGAAAATCGTACTGGGCGAGATTCGATGCTTACTGGCCGTTTTTGATTCAAAATATAGCAGTCACTGTGTGGACATCATCTCGTCCATTAAGTACTACAGTGGAACTTTGCGATACACAGCGAAACGGGTACTTAAATGTGTTTCGAACATCACAGAGGTTTTTTGACTAAATTTAGGAACTCCCCACTTGCTTTGATTCGATTTTCTCTTCGTACGTTGTTTTCTAGTGGAAATCCGTTGATCTTAAATTCCACTAGGCCTCGCGGCTCCAACTGTCGACTTCGCTTCCCCTTTGTTACCAGATGTCCAGCAGAATGTTTGAGATCTGAGAGCTTTGCTTGCTCGCTTCAGCTCGCCTAACTTGTGTTGCCAAGTCCGAGTAAGAGTTAATTTTTATGAATGGTGGAAAAAGCGGCCAACAAATTTCAAGTTTCAGGCCTCAACCTCAACTGGGTTTTCTTCACTGGATTTTCTGTTGTTAGGTTTGGTGCCGAGCTCCTCCATTCAAAATCTCAAAATTTTTTGTTTTGTAACGCGGAATCGTAATAACGGGAGAGCACTGGAGCGAAGGATGTTTGCAGTGCCTGTCCATGACCATATAAACAATCAGACTCTCCGTCAGATGAGCGGCCCGCCGGATGTCACTGCGAGCACGA